CCCAGGTGGCACTAGTGGAAAGGAACACATGTGCCAATGCAGAACATGTAAGAGACCAGAGTTCAATCCCTGGGTGTGGAAGGTCCCCTGGAAGAGGGCCAGTATTCCTGCCTAGAGAATCACATGGACAGAGGAGTTTGGCAGGGCTACAGTCTATGGGGTCACAAAGATTCAGAAACAACTGAAGTGATTTAGCACACATACAATATATGTAAAAATATCTGAATTTTTTTAAAAGAAAAAGTTTATTTAGTCACAAAGGATTATTAAGACTTAAAACCATCAGTTTTCTATTGATTTATTTATAGGCACCTGCTTAAATCTAGGAACAGTTAATTAGGAAATGGAACTCAGAGGAACTTCTGGGTGGTTTTACAAACTTTCCTTCCTTCTCTCTGTTTCCCATATCCCTCCTTATTCCCCTCTCTCTCCCCCCCTTCTATTTATTATTATATAACAGTTATTACATTAATGAAATGAATATTTTTGCTTTCTAGTTAGAAGGCAAAGATTTATAAGCCAAGTAAAGACAAGAGACAAGGGAAAAAACTGAATTAATCTAAAAGAAGAATATTTTGTGCAGAGGTAGAGGAGTCACAATTACATGCTATTTTTTTCCTCTACTACTTAGACACTGGAACAAACCTCAACAGTGGACAAGCCTGCCCCCATGTTAGCATGGAGTCTTTTAAAAATACCTAATATAGTAGAAAAACCACAATGTCACACATGAGGAGTGGGTGTGGATCAAAGGCACAGTCTTGCAGTGGCCTAAAAGAAGCCAGAGGGGGTTAGCCTGTGAAAAATGAAATCAAGATACCTAAATTAAAAAGAATCAGGAGACCAGTAGGGGGAGCCCTCACACCCATCCCAGTAGTAGAGCCCAACTGGAAGAAGAAATCCTCTTTTCTGGCAAGGACTCAGCCAATGAAAGGCCATGGACTCTTGGTTTACTACAGCCCTCCCAGCTTCCTTTTCCTCTCTATAAAAGCATTCTCCTTTCCTTGCCCTTTGGGGACTTGCATGTGCCTCACTATGGTTGCATGCCTGATTTGCAGATCTCTCCTGATACTGAATAAACCCATCCTTGCTGGAGAAATATCTGGGAGTCTGTTGTGTAAGGGCATCAGCAATTTGAAGAGGCTGGGAGATAGGAATGGACACTGTTAACTGATTCTTTGGACAGAAATCTGTCTTCCTCATCCCCATGACTCATTGAGAATTGCCCTGTTGCTTTCTTTTTTCTTTTAAAAATTCAATTAATTTATCCAGGCCTTGCCCTATGGGTATCCTTTAAAATGAAATGGTAGTCATTAAATATAGCATTTTCCTGGGTTCTATAAGTTGTTTTAGAGAATTACTGAACCTGAGGGGTAGCATGGGCACCTCTGAATTTGCAGCCAGTTGGTCAGAAGTGTGGGTAGCCTGGGAACCTAACTGTGCTTGGTGTCTGTAAAGACAGACTTGTGGAACAATGAGCCCTAAACCTGTGGATCTGATGCTAATCTGGGTGGTTGGCATCAAACTGTATTGAAGTACGTCCAGTTGGGGGTGAAACAAAACAAGTAGTTCATGAAAATATTTCTTCTTTCCTAACTCTCTTTCCTCACTTCTGGCAGTCATAACTCCCTCTACATAAGTTGCCTCTACCCTTCCTGTGCACACTTCCAGGATGTACAATTTCTTTCCATAGAATAAACAAACTCCAGTTGTTTTTCTTCCCTGTGTTTAAGAAATATTGCAGTGTTGCTTATCAGAGTTTAGTGTGGCTTCCTCTTCCACATAGCTCTATAGAGAGAACTTGTCTTAAAAAAAGAAAATTTTGATCTCAGTAACTGGAATGGTTCCACGAGAGGTTGGCATAGGTTAGGGGCAGCAGTAGTTGGGATAGGATAAACTCTGGTTCTGTGCATAGAAGATCTGGTTCTGTTCATTGAAGAGGGATTTTTACTGTCTGGTTAATTTTTTCTCAACTATTGGAAATCAAACATAACTCACCACCACAAGGATGATTTCATACCCCTCTAAATAAGAAACTGGTATTTCTTCTTTCCTTGGCCTTATGTCAGGAGAGAGTGTTTCCTCTCTTTGCCTGCTATGGACTGAAAGTTTGCCTGTACCCAACCCCACAAATTAATACGTTGAAACCCTCATCCCTAATGTGATGGTACTTGGAGACAGAGCCTTTGAGAGGTAATTAGGTCATGAGGGTGGAGTGCTTGTGATGCAATTAGTACTCTTATAAGAGAGACAGGAGAGAGTTGCTTCCTCTCTCTTTGCTTTCTGCCATGTGAGGATACAATGAGAAGGTATCAGTCTGCAAACCAGGAAATGGGCTCTCACCAGACTTCAGTATGCTGGTACTTTGATTTTGGACTGACTGCCTCCAGAACTGTGAGAAATAAATATTTTCTGTCAAAGCCACCCAGTCTGTGGTAAACTTTTTATAACGGTAGCATGAACTAAGACACTGCACTTACTATATTTTCACCTGAAATAACAGAAAACAATGGTGTCAAGCCCAAATATCTTTTCCTTCAATATTAATTTCTACTCACTAGGGATTTAGTGTTGGTGATAAAAGTTTTAATTCATTCATTCATGAAGACATAATAGAATGAAAACTAGACCAACCCAGTTACAGAAATACCAAAACTATAGGTGGTTCACTCCTCTTTCTTAAAAAACAAAACTTATCTTTTTCAAATTTCTTTAGAAAGTGTACTTTATTTAAAAAGTGTAAATAATATATTCCATGATACAAAATTCTAGACATAGTAAATTTTAAAATAGCACAAAGGAAATATAAATATTCATTTTATCTTCTTATATATATCTTTTATGCATTTATTTTCTTTTCCTAGGTTTATATTTTTCATTATTGTCCAATCTGATTCATACTTACAGTGAAAACATTTTAAATATCATAGACAGGTTTAAGGCAAAAGTAAAAATTTCCTTCTCTCCATTCCCTCCTCAGATATTGGTGAATATCCTTTTAACCATGTGGATACATTTTGTTTTTTACATATATGGTGTCACATTATACATGTTGTTCTGTAACTTTTCACTGAACACTGTCATGAAAAGCTTTCATGATAGTGCATTTAGAGCTAATTCATTCTTTTCAATGGTTAAACTGTATTCCCTGATGTATAGATATCTATTTAGCCAGCTCCCTCATGATGACTAACATGTTTCCAACATTTTGTTGGGGTTTCTCTGGTGGTTCAAATGGGAAAGAATCCACCTGTAATGCAGGAGACCTGGGTTTGATCCCTGGGTTGGGAAGATGCCCTGGAGAAGGGAATGGCCACCCACTCCAGTATTCTTGCCTGTAACAAAATGTTGATAGCTTATTTTTGATAAATGTAGTTATTATATTAGCTTACATACAATCCATGGGGTCACAAAGAGCTGGACACAACTGAGCAACTAACACTTTCACATATCCTCACACCCGTCTCCTCCATAGGATTTAGTCACTGTGTAGCTTGCCCTTTATTTTATACTTATGCACTTGTGCTTTTGAGCAACTGGTGCGTATTAGTGTTTTCCACGGACAGATGCTATAGGTGCTTAGTTGTATCCGACTCTTTGTGACTCCATGGACTGTAGCCTGCCAGGCTCCTCTGTCCATGGGATTTTCCAGGCAAGAATACAGGAGTGGGTCACCATTTTGTCCTCCAGGGGATCTTCCTGACCCAGGGAAAGAACCTACATCTCCTGCATCTTCTGTATTGCAGACGGATTCTTTATACTGCTGAACACCAGGGAAGCCTTGGTTTTGATGATACCATTACAAAATGTGCTTGCTTTTGCTTTCATCTAGTTTAAAAAAAAATTATGTCCCTATTCAGTAAAGAATAGATATGGCTGATTTAAAGTGGTCACACTGTTTTCCAGGTTAAGTAAATATTTCAATTAGAAGAGTAAATATTTTCGAATTGGAAGTGTGGGTATTTCCTGTTTTGGGAGTGTGTTCTTTAATGAACTGAGTTTCAGATTGGTGATATTACAAGGAGTGTGTAATGAATTTCTGGGCTGTAAGTCTTATGACTACACCCTGTCCTAAAAGGCTAAGTAAATTTCCAAAGTTTTTATCTTAGTAATATAGCACAGCGAAATACAAAAGGGCTACAGTGAAGAATAGATTCTTGCTTTTGTCACTAGTTTATTAGTGAATCCCAAGATATCAGGCTTCCTGGAGCTTGTTGCAGAGGTATTCAAGCATCCCTTTTAAAGATTAAAAAGAATTAAAGATCCCTACCTGGCTACAGTTATCATTTATTCAAATATATAGATAATGAAGATACCCATAGGATGCTCTCATCTATTTTAAAAACTTGGGTTGTCCTTGATGGGTATCCAACTCAGATCAACTGGGAATTATTAGCTTAAGGGACTATCTCTGCTTAATTTTGTCTTGGACCTTGAGTAAAGCTTAGTTAAAAGGATGTGAATGAGCTTTAAAATAATTTCCCTCCACAGTATCCAAGCTACCTTTAATAACAGAGTCATTCTCATCTTCCTTAATTATTCATAACAGATCTTCCAAGAGGAAACTTGCTATTACTGAATACCAAAAGCAGCTTGTAGTGCCCCTCAAAAATGTATTTTTTTCATAACTGGAAGGGGAAGAGGGAAAGTGAACAAGGGATGGGAACAAACCAATAAATACAATGTAAATAGTTTCATAGAAAGTTATTTATATTTTGGCAAGCCTCTCTATCTACTATGATCCCCAAGTTTTCTTTTTAGAGAAACTATGATGATGATAATAGCAGTTTTTACTGAAAAGATATTGATATACTAAGATATTTGGTAATACTTACTCTAATATTGCCCTGTCCATCCACATAACATGAAACCATAAAGAGAAGCAGTCCCCTGCATCCAGCCTTCCAGGCTGTCTTCACAGTCTTCACAGCTTAGATTCCATCTGTATGCTGCCATGAAAGTTGTTGCTGGCACACACAGGAGTGTGAATCTGGACTAACTTAAAGCTCTTGTCTTAAAGGCCTTTTCCTGTGGCATTGGCACAAAGCAGCACTGTCATCTGGCTGAGGAACAAGTTCCATTCCATCACGTATTTCAGGTTTGCTCAACTGGCGTTCAGCGTATTTCTGGAATGTGGAAAGATTAGTCCAAACTTCATTCCACCGAATCATCCCCACTCATGCTATTGTTTCTAGTTGCTGTGTATCTTCAGAGTAAAACCAAAGGTCTAATTTATTTCACTCCTAAAGTGACATTTTAACTTTAGTTATGATAGGCACTAGTGTGCTATTTCATAATCTTACAAGGAACCCCAATCCACTATTTTATGCAAAGGTAAGAGCCGTCTTGGAAAGGGACATCAAACAAAGTGTCCCTATTTGAACAACAGCACTTCTTGAGTTCATCCTCCACATGTTAATAAATAATTAACTTGGCTGAATATTCAAATCAGTGAACAAAGATGATAAGCGTCTCAAAGTAAAGTTTGTGGTTTTTATACATCCTGCCCTTTAGGCCTGTAGTCAGACAGGTTTTGCAAATGGTGATGGGACTGTGAACTGTCCCTCCACTTTGGCCACTGACTGGAATATCCCTTTGAATCGGATTTTTCAGTTCTGTGGTTCCTCAGTATGCGTAGTTCCTCAGTATGCATGGTTCCACGTCCTCAGACTGTGAAGTACTGCAGTGTGCATGTATGTGCTCAGGTGTGTCTCACTCTTGTGACCCCGTGGACTGTAGCCCACCAGGCTCCTCTGTCCATGGGATTCTCCAGGCAAGAATACTGGAGTAGGTTGCCATTTCCTTCTCCAGGGGATCATTTTGATCCAGGGATCAAACCCATGTCCCTTGCATCTCCTACATTGGCAGACAGATTCTTTACCACTGAGATACAAGGGAAGGCTCAGTACTGCAATATTTACTACTAAAAAAAAATCCACACATAAATGGACCTGCATGGTTCAAACCCATTTTGTTCAAGGGTCAACTGTACTTTTCATGTTTGTTTTATACAGCAAATTAAATATTTGCTTTCCACCCTGTACTGACAGCAAAAGCATGAATCCTAATTAGTAAGGAGAATGAAGAGGTGGATATTTTGAGCAGAAAGAGATGTTAATGATCTCTAGTCCAACCCTATTTTCCATATGAGGAAAGATGTTCTCTGAGGCTCAGAGCTTTTAATCTATATTTGTAAGGTCTCTGTAAGTATTGTTCTTCTTAAAACTGAATGGAGATAAAAATATGGTGGCCACAAAGGGACTTAGCACTATCTTTCTATAGCTTGGTGCCTCAGTGTAGCCAGAGTTCCACAGGCTGACTCTTGAGCCCCTTGAGGAAGCAAGGACTCAGGCCATTTCTTGGTCTGAGGACATTCAGCCAAGCAGGATGGATCCCCTGAACTGACCTGTAGTACCCTGTAATAGTAGCAGTAAAGTCGGTGTGGCTGTAGCAGATCCCTAGCAGTCACCTGTCCTTCTTTTGCAATCTTCTCGGCTTCTTCATCATTTTCCTGAAAAGTTTAAAAAGAAACAATGAATGAAAATTACTCCTGCGACCCACAAAGAAAGCTAAGTGGGAGGTAGAACAGATGTAGAGTTGAATGTGAACATCATGGGAGAGATCAAACGTGATGAAAATATGACTTCAGAATGAGGCTATGGAAAAAGACAAAGTACTTTCCTAGACATCCCTGCTGTATATGGAAATAATCATTCGTGGTTTGGATCCTCCCAGTGCAGCAATCCACATATAGCCCCTATTGTGACTGTCCTGGTACTTTCCAAGCAACTCAGGGAATCTGGGGCTCATCATCTGTCCCCTCAATCTAACTCTCTCTGCGTGATGTTAAAATACAAACTAGAATAGAATGAATTAGTTTTTATGCTATAACACCTTATTTAAATATTTAGTTTGAACCAAAAAGTTGTTCTAAAAGGGTACCCATGAAATACCATGTTATTGTTGTAATAAAAAATTCAGTTATTAGTACTTACTAGCTATTCCTTCAATACCAGGAATAGTCAATATTCCTCATTATACTTTTATAAAGTATCTAAGATTATATGATGCTGCTCCCAGGAAAAGCCATTTGCAAGCAATTCTGACTCTTTATAAAGGGTCACAAAAATATTCTGCATCAGGTATCCAGTTGTTTCCATAGCCACATTGCTTCTCAGAAACAGAATAAAGACTTACAATGGAAGGGGTAAATTTTATAATTTCACAATAAAATACAAGAGCTTTTTAGTATTCTTCCTTTAAAAAAAAAGAATTAGTATTTTATGGAAAGGTTGTGATTCTTGGGATGTTGTATAGCATGAATTTGTTATGAACTTGTTATCCCGAGAAAACCATACAAAAAGATACATGCATCCCAATGTTCACTGCAGCACTATTTTTAACAGCCAAGACAGGGAGGCAACCTAAGTGTCCACTGACAGATAAATGGATAAAGAAGATGTAGTACATATACACAGTGGAATATTACTCAGCCATAAAAAGTAGGAAATAATGCCATTTGCAGCAACATGAATGGACATAGAGAGTGTCAATACTGAGTGAAGTAAGACAGAGAAAGACAAATATATGATAGCACTTATGTGTGGAATCTAAAAAAAAATGATACAAATGAACCTATTTGCAAAACAGAAATAGAGTCACAGATAGAGAAAACAAATTATGGTTCCCAAGGGGGAAAGGGGAGGGCTAAATTGGGAGATTAGGATTGACATATATGCACTATTAAATATAAAAACACAACTAACAAGAACCTACTGTAGCACACAGGGGACTCTGCTTGGTCCTCTGTAATGACCTATGTGGGAACAGAATCTAAAAAAGAGTGGATATATGTGTATGTATAACTGATTCACTTTGCAGTTCAGCAGAAACTAACAACACTGTAAATCAACTTTATTCCAATAAAAATTAATTAAAAACTTGTGCCCTTTTTTCTAACTGGGGAAAACAATTTTAAATTACAATTGCTTTAATTTAAAGCAATTAAACCATAATTGCTCTAAATATTTTCTTGGTCATAAAGCACTTTAACCCTGGTCTTTTTAATCTGTAATTTGCATTTGGTGTGTGTTATTTGTATTTGGTGTGTGTGCATGAATAGTGATCCTTTAGAAAAACCTATATTCGATGTAACACTGTACTTCAAATCTTCTAAAAATCCTCAAACATACTCATAGGGGGCATTCAAAATAGTCCAGATGTTGATTCTTCCTGATGTTGATTTCAGGGAAACAAAAATTTCACAAAATAACATTTCATCTGCCTGAATTATGTCAAATTGTGTTATGATGAAACTTGTGTAACTAAATAATACTGGTGAATTTGTTACGACCTAAATAAATTAAAATTATGGAAAGCATACCTTGGCCCATTCAACTTTCTCTAGTAGATCACTAAGATTTCTTCTAATTGGAATATAATGTTTCCATGGCTTCAGTGCCATATAGAAATGTTCATAATATGGTGAGTCCTGCTTCAGAACCAAACTGTCACCAAGCATGAGATACGGATATCTATAAGCAGCCACGGTCCCATCCACATTCACCTGATACTTGTACTAAAATTAAAACAAACATAGAAGTTTTAGCAGTCATTTGCTTCAGTTCTGCTTCTGGTCAGCATTGTAATATTAAATATAAAGAAATTATTTTCCAACTTATAATATTTATAAGCTTTCCATTTTATTTTGTAACACACATCTTCTCTTTGTATTAAAATCATAAGCAGCATTTGTCAGGTCAATTTTGAGAAACACAACATATTTAAAGATAAGGTGATAAATAATTTTAGGAAGTGGGAATGCCTATTTTTAACTATGTCTATGTAATGGGGAATTCAGATATCTGTAACCAGGTAAGAAAACTATTTCCAAAGCTCTATATTTATTAAAACTTAATATTGATAATAATTTACACTTTTATTTATACATTATTTCATTTGTTCCTTACACCCACATAAGTATGAAAAGGGAAGGCATTATCTCAAAGTTCGGTTTTAGAGCTGAGGAAACAGAAACCTGGAGAAGACTAAGGACTAGCGTGATGCCGGCAACACAGTACATATACTGTTGACATGTTTGTTGGATAAATAAATTTTGATTTACATTTTAAAATCATTTTTCATTCAATTATAATAATGTAAAGCAGATATTATCAGCTCTTTTTTATAAATGATAAAACTCATTTCAGAGATCTTTATAAACTTCTATTGTATGAGCCCAAATCCCATGCTCTCTTCATTATATCACCTTGAGAGGAAGAGGACATACAGATTTGGTAATTAATTTTTTCTTAAATAATTGGTACCAAGGGCTTTAGATTTTGTCACAGCCAGTTAGCTTTTGTCACACTGTTCACATCTCTATCTCGTTTGCACCTCATATGCGGTGCTCTGAAGGAGCTGGGCAGGCTCACATATGTTAGAGGCGAGAGGTGCTATCGAGATGATAGCCCCAAAGTTAATAGCAGAGGCAGGACTACAGGTGGGACTTGAACATCATTTTACTAGCATGAAATTCATACTCTTTTTATTTATAAGATAATTTTATGCAACAGACATTTATATTCCCAGTTTATTTTAAAAAATACAAAAAAGAGAAAAACATGGAAATATACCAAAATCCTAAGTTAATATTTTGAGTACTAAACACAGTTCTGAGCTATTTGTAGACAAAGTTAACAACAACAACAAAGGGAAAAGAAACTGCATGAGTTTTGTAATTCCCTGTGTCTGAAAAGAAAGTGTGTGCTGGGTCATAAAATCGTAGAAATCTGCCCAACCCCAGCTATTTGTTTGACTTTTAACACAAATTCATCACCTTGTATCTCTCCAGGAAGACCTAATCGCATACCTTAAAGAAGTCAAAGAAACCTATCAATTTAGCTTTTCCAAGCTCCTTTTCTTTCTCCTGGAAGAAGAAATATCCTGTGATTCCTGCATCTAGCAGCTGTGGGTTTTCCTTGGACAGCTGCACCAACTGGAGCCTCTCCTCTCGGCTATCTCTACCTCTGAAGAAAGCTTTCTCTGTTTTGTTGATCCAGGAAGGTCCTAGATGTTTGAGACCATAAAAAAATACTCATGTGAATTTGACATTTTTATATTCTGGTAAGTATATCATCTTTAATCTACCTTTGTTATTTAAGATGCTAAAGCTCTTTCATTATCAACACATCTTCTAAAGTAAGTGTAACCTCCGAAAAATATGCTCTAATTTTCATCCTTTTGTGTACTAATGAGAGCTCCCTCAAAAGGTTGAGTGCCTGTTATATGATTTTAGGAATTATCCAAAGCAATGCTGGATCAAGTTCAAAGCAAAAAGAGATTCTGTGACTTGGTTCACTCACCAAGGCATTAGTTTCTTCCATCTTTTGTGCTTCACACACACACAAACACACACACACACACACACACAGACAAGACTGTCATTCTTAGAGTGACTATAACAAACTACACAATTAAGTAACACCCACACAACTTTAATTCTTAGGTCACTCAGAATTTCGAGCACATCAATTTGAATACACTGAAGAATTTTTCTAATATGCTGTTAAATGAAAATATACATGTATAACTAAACAATGTATATATATTTATATTCTCTCTTTCCTTGGAGGGAAATAATCAGGAAGAATTAATTTAGATCTCTTTCTATCATTCTAAAAATGATAGTTAACACTTCTCAGTGTTCTAAGGGATAAATCATACATCACAGAAACTAGGGGGGTGTTCAACCTCTTTACTATTTTAGCACACTTTTCAGGAATTTACTGATATCAAATAAAAAGTAGGTCAGTTTTCATTTCCTATTATCTTTAGAGACTTTACAAGGAGTCTCTAGTCTCGTCTACAGAATAAGTCCAATTGAACTGCTCTAAATAGAAATGAAGCCTTGTAAAGACAGGCAGTGTTTTTTTCTACTCAGGGAGTTCAGTTTAATAAAATGGTGTGTACTACCATAAACCTAAGGCCATTAAATAGGAGTGAAGGAATTCAGACTGTAAAGGATCAAGGGACACAGAAACAGGCAAGAGAATTTCTTACTGGAGGTTGTAACATCCAAATTGTATCACAGTTCTCTTACATAAGAATATAACTTTATATTTTTCAGAATTCTCCCTCATTTCATCCAGCAATATAAAGGCACTGGAGTCACCATTAAGTGAAAGTTTTACCAAATACGTATTTTTACAGGACTTCTCTGGTGGTCCAGTGGTTAAGGATCCACGTTGCAATGCAGAGGAGGCAGGTTTGATCCCTAGTTGGGGAACTAAGGTCTCATGTGCCATGGAGCAACTCAGGCCACACACAACTACTGAGCTTGCACACCACAACTAGAGAGTCTGAGCGGCAACAAAAAACCCTGCACAATGCAACGAAGATCCCCCATGTTGCAACTAAGACCCAATGCAGCCAAATAAATAAATACAATGTTTAAAAGAAAATGAAGAAAAATTTTTAAAAAATATATTTTCAAATGATATTTACATGTGACCAACTCAAAGGAGACTCAGTTATAGTAGGTTTTGGACATTACTAGCCCAGCTCACATATCTTTGATTTTTGAATTGGAAGACTCCTAAACAAAAGCCACTTTAGAGTTCAGACTGCTGTTTTTCTCTTTTCCTGGTTAGAAAAGAAGAACAATGGTTATTTAAATATATCGACGTACTCTCTCTGAGTGAACAGTCCTTTCACCTTTTTTACTTTTAAGCTTTTTCTTAGAGAATGACTTTTACCTGTATTTCCCTGAATAGAAAGGAGATCATTTGTAACACCCCTCAAAGCTTCAAGCGTGGAGTGGGTGATGTCATATGTCGGAAGGATAACATCTCGTGAATCCACAGAGCCACACCATGAAATGATAGGTAAAGGGCCAGGGGTTTCATTGACTTTTCGATGCTCCAAAGGCCAGTCTCCAAGATTAACATAAAATTCTAAATCTGGGAGAAGGACCTAAATAAACAAAAGAATGTTTATCAGTGTCGGGAAGACCTCAGTCTTTGATACTAAATGCTTTGGTTCTTTGACTTTTAAAAAATTTCTGATAAAACAAATTTGAAAATAGAAGAGAGAAGGATGCTTCTCAGTCATCAGTAGTAGCAGATAATCAAGGGGCTTCCCTGGTGGCTCAGTGGTAAAGAATCCGCCTGCCAATGCAGGAGACATGGGTTCAACGCCTGGGTGGGGAAGATCCCACATGTTGCAGGGCAACTAAGGCTATGCGCCACTAACTACTGAGCCCACATGCAACTACTGAAGCCTGTGTGCCCTAGAGCCCGTGCTCGGCAACAGGAGAACCCACAGCCACGAGGGCCTGCACACCACAGCGAGACAGTAGCCCCCACTCACCGCAACTAGAGAAAAGCCTGTGCAGCAACAAAGACCCAGCACAGCCAAAAATAAACAAACAAATAAATAATTTTTTTTAAGAGAGAAGAAAATCAAGGGTGAGGATGATGCATGACAATTCACTTAAGCAGGAATTAGCCACCTCTCGTCAGAGCTGGCATTTAAAACTGTTGTGTATATGTAACTATTGGTATGGAAACTTTGCAGAAAGGCCTGAATGAATGGCTTCAAGCACCCTTTCTGCCAGCAGTCAAAGGGAGACTCTATAAAGTTAGACCCAAGCCCTTGTTTTCCTTCGCTATCAAACCTCTTTATAACAACCGTGTTTGTTTTGGAATCTGCTATCCATTTTCATCTTCATGCTCAATGCCTTAGTTCAGGCCTTTATCATCTCTTCGCTAGATTGTTGCAATCCTTGTCCCTTACTAGATGGTCTGATTCTAGCCTCTCCTGCTGTCCACATTGTTGTTCAAATTTCTAAAACCCAAATTAATGTTACTACTAAGCTTAACAGTACCTTAATCCTATAGGACAAGGTCTAAACCCCCTGGCTGGAATTCAGGCCCTCACTATCTTGTTCCAGGTTAGCTTTGAATCTCAGCTTCCATCTGCCCAAGTAGCAGAAAACTTTACTCTCTGAAAATGCCACCCACCTTAACATGTAAATCTCTTTACTTGGAATGCCCTTCTCCTACTTATTCACTTGGCAATCTCTTTTCTCATCCTCCACACCCAGAGCAAATGTTTCCTCCTCTAGGACTCCCCTTCCTTGGACATTTTAACTCTGGGTACCTACTTTTCTTATGTGCCTATCATGTGTGGCATAATGTTGCTTGTATTCATATCCCATCCTCACTTCCAAATAACAAAAACAAGTTCCCCTAGAGTGAGCTATTCAAAACCCAGAGGTGAGTCTCATTTATCTTAAATCCCTTTTCAGTCACTGGGCAAAGAACCTGGAACAAAAGGGAAGGGCAAAGGGATGTGACTCTTCAGCCTAGTGCTCCCCACTACCATTCAGTAGCTTACTAATAAAGGGCTCCGTAAAGAGTCTGCCTGCAATGCAGGAGACCCGGGTTCGACCCCCGGGTTAGGAAGATCCCCTGGAGAAGGAAATGGCACCCCACTCCAGTACTCTTGCCTGGAGAATCCCATGGACGGGGGAGCCCGGTGGGCTGCAGTCCATAAGCTCCACATCAGAAGTTCTCACTGTAGACGAGGATTTCTCAGTCTTGGCACCACTGACATTTTGGTCTGGGTAATTCTATCCTGTGCGGGTTGTCCTGCACATTGTAGAATTAGCAGAATCCCTGGCCTATACCCACCAGGTGCAGTAGCAAGTCCCCAGTTGGAACACTGCCAAACTCCTCTCAGACGCAAATCATTCCTCGTTGAAAACCACATAAGCACAAGAGATACAGAAATACAGGGCAGAGTGGACTGGTGGCAGTCCAGGAAGAAGGAACCGCCTCTAGGATCAGATGCCCATAATATGCTCATGTGATGGGCTGATGGGGAGGCAGGAGGCAACTGCTATTTAAAATAATTGATTGCGGTCCCATATTTCATGTGCTTGGGAACATATAACTCATATCAGGAAAGGTGGCTTTTGGGTAAGAAAACTACCTTCACGGCCTTTCTAGATGAGAGAGGTAAAAAAATGCCCACTCTTCCTCCTTTATTCTAGATGATTGGGAATAAGGAATAACAAAAGGTAGTTTGAATTGCTCTGCTTAAGAGGATTTATAGGAGTTTTGTAAATATGGAAAGAGGGGCTGAATAGAGGGAAAGAGGGAGGAGGTGCTGTGAAATCTTTTGGAAGATAGAAGCTCCAATCATGTTTTGTAAGAAGCCTAGACACGAAAATCAAGGTCAGCCAGTGAGAAATTCCCAGAGGTAAGGATGACTGAGAGTCTGATTTTACACAGGGATGTCTATTTTTACATGTTAGGATTTGTGTTTTGCCTATTCTGCATTGGCACAAAATAACCTCTCTCTGGTACCTCAACATTCAACAAAATGTGCCATGTACACGATCTTTTAGAAGCACTTAGGATTAAAACAACGAAAATGTGTCCTAAGTTCAACTTATTTTGAGGTGACAAGAAGAAAACTGCTGTAGAAAGTGAAATCTGAATGGAAGGAGTGTTCAGCAGGAATGCGAAAGCTGAAAAAGTCACCTTGCAGCTGTAAATGTCTGGGAGTTCACAGAAGACTTGGGAGAATGCTATATGGTCTACCTACCTGAGATGGGGCTCAAACTATTTAACTTAAATATTAAAGGAAAAAGAAATCCAACTGATCCATACTCAGGTGGTAGACAGATGTACATTTTCAAGCCTGGAATCCATTTTCATTCTTTACCATTATTATTCTAAGAATTAAATGTTACAAATAAATATTTAAACTATTTTGATTTTGGAATCAATGAATTCATTCTCATACCTTTCTTGCCAGTGACAGCAAAATCTCATCTGAGAACATTTTGAAGTCTGTGTATTTTCCTAAAGATCGTCGGTAGATGTGGTTATTGAGAATCGTGTAATGAACAATAGCACCCCTCTCATCCCCAAACCTTTTCGGAACTTCAATTAGCATCTGCTGGAGATTAATGCTGGGGAAAGAAGCAAAATCTTTTTCAATCTGTGGTTCCTTGTCTGGACAAGACAGAGTTTTCTGCCAGGCCTGAGGATCGTCTTCTGGACACTCACAGTACTCATGGTACACTGGTCCTAAGGAAAGCAAAACATGTGGAATGCTAAGCTCCATTAACAAGCAATGCAACACAGGGAGTTGTTTCTGCCACTGCTGTGAGCATGCGATGACTTCTTGGTAAACTCTAAGATTATCCAGACAGGGATAATCTACTGTAAACAAATCAGTGGTAAAAGTAATGTCAGAGTCTTGTGCTCTTACCTTCTGACCCCTTTTCACCCCACCCTAGATAACCTAGTATAGCATGTACTCTCCCAAGGTAACATAGCATATGCTCTCCCAATGTAACCTACTCATTCAATTCGTTGATAAATTTATTTCCAATGAGCTATAAATGGCCAATGAGCATAAAACTTATCTTTCAACAAGGAAAAAGAGACTGTATTCCTTTTAAGGCATGATTATGTAGTAAGGCTGGTGATTTTTAAAGACAAGATGAGGTCTCTTCCTCTGAATCCCTAAAATTACCTCCATCAGCACATCTCAAAAAGGAAATATGAAACTCAGGGACATCTTGAAGTGTAAGCTTAAAGTGATCAGACGTAAGTATGAAACTATTCTGAAGACTCATTTAAAAAAGAATTTGTGCAAAATTTATCTTATTTCACAATATATCTGTATTTAATATAAAAATAATTTTAAAAGTTATTTAATTTTCTTGAGGATTTCTACTTCAGACCAGCATAAGAAATAGGGATCAATTTAGCTTCCTACCTAAAACTACCAAAATACGGATAAAGTATATGAAACAATAGTTTTTTAAGACATGGACATCAGCCAGTGAATAATGAGTTTGAGAGATGACAAACAAATGAAGTAAACTCTCTAGTTCCTCAAGTTTACTGCCCAAGGGAGTTTCTGGGTGGTGCAACAGGGAGGAACAATCTGGGCAGAGACCAGGAGTCTCCCTGAGTTGAGACAGAGCTGAAAGTCCAAGGCAGCTAGAAGTGGTAGAACATACTGCACAGAGACAGAACTCCAGAGACCTGTACAAGGTTCCCCTCAAATATTTAAGGCATACTGATCAATATGTATGTTTGAATAAACTGTCCAAAATAAAGAAAGAACTATCCATAACGCCATAAGGATTAGAGGCAACAATACCCATGGTTCATACAGGGCTGGAAAAAGTGCCTATTCATAACAAACCAAACTGGAAAGCATCCTAATTCATAGAGGTCGCATGGAATATGCAGAGATGTATTGCCTGAGTAGTAAGGAATAATTAGCCCTAGACTAAACATGGCTCTGGGCCTGCCTAGTAAATTGTAAAAGAAAATTTGAAGGATCAACTTACTTCCAAACAATTGCATCCTAGAGAAAAGCTCAAGAAGATGAGAAAGCATTGAGCAATGAGAAATACACTGGACAGAATTAATGACAAATTGAACATAATAGAAGGAAACATTGTAAAGTTAAACATATAGAAACTATACAAAATGAAATGGAGAAAAATATCATTTAAATGAAAAGAGCATAATTGAGTCATGGGATAATTTCAAGCCTAATGTATGGGTAATTAGAATTCTTGGAGGAGAACTGAGATAGAACAGAAAAAATATTTCAAGAACTTATGGCCACTTTTATGCTGGATTTGATGAAAGCTATAAACCCAAAGATCCACAAATCTCAAGTATAAGAAATACAAAGAAACCTATACCAAAGCACATAATAATCAAATTGCTCAGAACAACTGATAAGAGAAGAATATTTAGCAGGGGATCAAAGATATAGAAAATGGCAGATTTATAACTGGAAATAATGCAAGTGAGCAGATATAGAAGACAGCAGAACAATATATTCAAATACTCAAAGGGGAAAAAAAAAACTGTCAACCAAAAGCAAAGGAGAAAAAGAAAGAAATACCCATTTGAATGCAGAGTTCCAAAGAATAGCAAGGAGAGATAAGAAAGGCTTCCTCAGTGATCAATGCAAGAAAACAGAGGAAAACAATAGAATGGGAAAGACTAGAGATCTCCTCAAGAAAATTAGAGATACGGAGGGAACATTACATGCCAAGATGGGCACAATAAAGGACAGAAACAGTATGGACCTAACAGAAGAAGAAGATATTAAGAAGAGGTGGCAGGAATACACAGAAGAACTATACAAAAAAGATCTTAATGACCCAGATAACCATGATGGCGTGAGCACTCACCTAGAGCTAGATATCCTGGAATGCAAAGTCAAGTGGGCCTTAGGAAGCATCACTAGGAACAAAGCTAGGGGAGGTGATGGAATTCCAGTTAAGCTATTTCAGATCCTGAAAGATGATGCTGTGAAAGTGTGGCACTCAATATGCCAGCAAATCTGGAAAACTCAGCAGTGGCCACAGGACTGGAAAAGGTCAGTTTTCATTCCAATACCAAAGAAAGGCAGTGCCAAAGAATGTTCAAACTATTGCGCAATTGCAGTCATCTCACACACTAGCAAAGTAATGCTCAAAATTCTCTAAGTCAGACTTCAATAGTATGTGAACCGAGAACTTCCAGATGTTCAAGCTGGATTTACAAAAGGCAGAGGAATCAGAGATCAAATTGCCAACATACACTGGATCATAGAAAAAGCAAGAGAGTTCCAGAAAAACATCTACTTTTGCTTCATTGACTACACTAAAGCCTTTGACTGTGTGGATCACAACAAACTGAGGAAAATTCAAGAGACAGAACTACCAGACCACTTTACCTGCCTCCTGAGAAATCTGTATGCAGGTCAAGAAGAAACAGTTAGAACCATACATGGAACAACGCACTGGTTCCATATTGGGAAAGGAGTATGTCAAGGCTGTATATTGTCCCCCTGCTTATTTAACTTATATGCAAAGTACATCATGTGAAATGCTGGGCCAGATGAAGCACAAGCTGGAATCAAGATTGGAGGGAGAAATATCAATAGCCTCAGATATGCAGATGACACTACCTTTATGGCAGAAAGTGAAGAGGAACTAAGCAGCCTCTTGATGAAAGTGAAAGAAAAGAGTGAAAAAGCTGGTTTAAAACTCAACATTCAAAAAACAAAGATCATGACATCTGGTCCCATCACTTCATGGCAAATAGATGGGGAAACAATGGAAACAGTGACAGCCTTTATTTTCTTGGGCTCCAAAATCACTGCAGATGGTGACTGCAGCCAAGAAATTAAAAGACGCTTACTCCTTGGAAGGAAAGTTATGACTAACCTAGACAGCATAGTAAAAAGCAGAGACATTACTTTGCCAACAAAGGTCCTTCTGGTCAAGCTACGGTTTTTCAAGTAGTCATATATGGATGTGAGAGTTGGACCATAAAGAAAGCTGAGCACTGAAGAATTGATGCTTTTGAACTGTGGTTTGGAGAAGACTCTTGGACAGTCAGGAGATCCAACCTGTCAATCCTAAAGGAAATCAGTCCTGAATATTCATTGGAAGGACTGATGTTAAAGCTGAAATTCTCATACTTTGGCCACCTGATGTGAAGAACTGACTTTTTAGAAAAGACCCTGATGCTGGGAAAAATTGAAGGCATGAGGAGAAGGGAATGACAGAGGATGAGATGGTTGGATGGCATCACTGGCTCGATGGACATGAGTTTGAGCAAGCTCTGGGAGATGGTGATGGACAGGGAAGCCTGGCATGCTGCAGTCCATGGGGTTGCAAACAGTCAGACATGACTGAGCAACAGAACTGAACTGATAATTCCACCTGGCAAAATATCTCACAAAAATACAGGCAAAATAAAGATATTTTCAGATATCTAAAAGCTGGAAGAACTAATCACCATTATCCTCACATTAAATGAAAAGTCAATAGGAATTCTTTAGGTAGAAGGCAAATAGTACTAAATGAAAACATGTATCTATGCAAAAGAATGAAGAGTACACAACAATATTTTTGCTTGTCATTTAAATCTCTTTAAATTACTTAGTTTTTCTCTCCCTAAAATATCAAGAGAATTGAACTCCAGGAGGTACATATATCACATTTATCCTTTTGCACATGTCTATAACATCATCATAATGCAGTCTGAAAGCCACGGGTTCTACACATAAGCCTGGCTCTGGTTTATGTAATAATTACTTACCTTTCAAAATATAGGGAGACTGAGCAACATGTTCATCACCATAAAGGACTTCTATCTTCAGCCCTTTACTAACAGTTTCATACATCCTATATCGCATCAAAAATGTTCCATCATTCCTGTCCAAAGGTTTAGGGACATGAATCCGAACTACCTCTTTAGGTGACAGAGATTTGATTACTACTCTGAATAGTGTTTGACCTGGGGGGAAAAAAAAAGTATAAGTAATTCTATTTCAAGGTTCTGCTTCACAGAAGTTTATTTTTTCTGTACCATCAATGGTAAATAAAATTATTTTAGTTTTGAAGATCTTTGACACCAGGAACTATATTTAGTTTAGGTCTTCTAAACCAAGCAACTGAGGCCTGTGGCTCAAGATAGCAGAATAGAAGGATGTGTGCTCATCTCCTGTGAGAGCACCAAAATTGCAACTGGCTGTTGAAGAATCACTAACAGAATGCTGGTACCCAATAAAATAGGATACCCCACACCAAAAGACAAGGAAGAAGATGGAGTGAGATGGTAGGAGGGGTGCAACCATGAAAAAATCAAATCCCATACTGACCAGGTGGGTGACCGACAAACTGGAGAAAAATAATACCAAAGAAGTTCTCCCACGTTGTGAAGGTTCTGAATCCCATGTCAGTCTCCCCAGTAGGGATCTGACAAGGTGACTGGGAATCCCCAGGGAATCTGACCTTGAAGACCAGGAGGACTTGATTATAGGACTTCCACAGAACTGGAGAAAACAGACTCCAGTCTTGCAGGGAACAGACAAAATCTTGCGTGCACCAAGTCCCAGAGGAAAGGAGCACTGACCCCGCAGGAGACTGAACAAAACTACCTGCGAGTGTTGGAGGGCATCCTGTGGAGGTGTGGATGGGCAGGGGCTCACCACAGGGACGGGGGCACCCACAGCAGCAGGCCTGGAAGGTCCCCCTTGGCGTTAGCCCTCTTGGAGGTCGCCCTTAACCCGACCATAGAGCCCGTAGACCCCAGGGCTGGATCGCCTCAGGCCAAACAACTAATAGGGACGGAGCACAATCCTACCCAACAGCAGATAATTGGGTTAAAGCTTTACTGAGCAAGGCCTTGCCCACCAGAGCAAGACCCAATTTCTCCCACCACCAGTCACTCCCATCAGGAAGTTTACACAAGCCTCAGGCTCCTCCATCAGACAGCAGACAGAAGAAGCAAGAAGTACCACAATCCCACAGTTGCAAGAAAAAACCATATCACAGAAAGTTAATTATGATGAAAAAAGCAGAAAGCTATCTGCCAAATGAAGGGACAAGACAAAACCCCTGAGAAAACAACTAAATGAACTGGAGATAGGCAACCTTCCAGAAAAAGAATTCAGAATAATGATAGTGAAGATGATCCAGGATCTTGGGAAAACAATGGAGGAGCTGCAAGAAATGCATATCAAAAACCTAGAAGAACTAAAGAACAAAAAACAGAGACTGAATAATACACTGGAAGGAATCAAGAGCAGAATAACTGAGGCAAAGAACAGATAAATGACCTGGAGGGCACAATGGCGCAAATCAATGCCACAGAACAGAATATAGAAAAAAGAATTTAAAAAAAAAAGGAAGACAGCCTAAGAGACCTATAAGACAACATTAAATGCATCAACATTCACATTATAGGGTTAAATAAGGAGAAGGAAATGGCAACCCACTCCAGTGTTCTTGCCTGGAGAATCCCAGGGATGGAGGAGCCTGATGGGCTGGAGTCCGTGGGGTCGCTAAGAGTCGGACACGACTGAGCGACTTCACTTTCACTTTTCACTTTCATGCATTGGAGAAGGAAATGGCAACCCACTCCAGTTCTTGTCTGGAGAATCCCAGGGACAGAGGAGCCTGGTGGGCTGCCGTCTATGGGGTCACACAGAGTCGGACACGACTGACGTGACTTAAGAAGGAGCAGAAAGAGACAAAGGACCTGAGAAAATATTTGAAGAGATAATAGCTAAAAACTTTCCTAACATGGGAAAGGAAATAGTTGACAAAGTTCAGGAAGCACAGTGAGTCCCAAGGAGGAACACACCAAGACACATGGAAATCAAACTGACAAAAATTAAAGACAAAGAGAAAATATTAAAAGCAACAAGGAAAAAATGACACATAACATACAAGGGAACTCCTTTCAGGTTGTCAGCTCATTTCTCAACAGAAACTCTATAAGCCGGAATGGAATGACGTGATATATTCCAACTGATGAAAGGGAAGAACCGACAAGCAAGAATACTCTACCCAGCAAGACTGTCCTTCAGATTTGGTGGAGAAATCAAAAGCTTTCCAGACAAGCAAAGGTTAAGAGAATTCAGCACCACCAAACCAGCTTTACCACAAATGCTAAAGGAACCTCTCTAGGCAGGAAACACAAGAGAAGAAAAAGACCTACACAAAATGAACCCCAAATAATTTTAAAAATGGTAACAGGTTCATACATATTGATAGTTATCATAATTATAAATGAATTAAATGCACCAAGCAAAAGACATAGACTGGCTGGACAGATGAATACACGTGCAGGTATGCACTTCCACTTACCACAACACTCTGCTTGAAGCCCCCCACCCAAATTGAATGTAATCATTTTCTATTGTTAGGTTAATCATGTTCCCAATATGGCTTACAACTATAATTATCTTTTATTTTGTGTTTGGTTATTGGTTGTGAAAACTCATAAACATTGTTTACTATTGTGATTATGTAACTGTTACTCAATACCATTGTATCATGATTGGTCAACAGGAAAATAACAGAACTCTATATCACCAAAAACTAGGAACTAATAGAAAAACCTGTGATCAATTTTTGAAATCTAGATGCATATCAGAATTATCTTGGTATTTTTTTGAAAAATACAAATGTTCAGGTATTGCTTTTTTTCTCCAAAGCTCCAGGTATGTTTCTACTGAGCAGCCATGTTTAAAAACAAACGGACTATATGATGATCCTTTACTTTTATCTAGTTTGTTTTTATTTTGTCATTTCATATTCAGTGCTTCCATTTCATTTACTTATGTTTCCCAATTTCCCCATCTCTTCTTTTTTTTTCTTTTCTGAAGTTCTTTCTTAAGCCTTTATCAAGCAAAGTAGAAAAGTTTTTGTATACATATAAATAGTATGTATTATATATATTTTAGAAAACATGAATTTTTACCTAAGTAAAAACTGTATGACATTTTGATTTCACTTGTTTGACTTACTGTGAATAGAATGCTTGATTTCTAATTTAAAAAATTAGATATGCAATAAGCAACAAAAATTTACTATATATAGCACAGGGACCTACAGTCAATATCTTATAATAATCTACAGTGGAAAATAATCTGAAAAATAAGATATGTGCATGTATAACTGAATCACCTTCCTGTGGGCCTGAAACATTGCAAGTTAACTGTGAGTTCAGTTCAGTTCAGTCGCTCAGCCATGTCAGATTCTTTGTGACTCCATGGACTGCAGCACATGAGGCTTCCCTGTCCTTCACCATCTCCCAGAGCTTGCTCAAACTCATGTCCATTGAGTCAGTGATGCCATCCAACCACCTCATCCTCTGTCATCCCCTTCTCCTCCTGCCTTCAATCTTTCCCAGCACCAGGATCTTTTCTAATGAGTCAGCTCTTTACATCAGGTGGCCAAAGTACTGGAGGTTCAGCTTCAGCATCAGTCAACCCAATGAATATTCAGGACTGATTTCCTTTAGGATTGACTGGTTGGATCTCTTTGTAGTCCAAAGGACTCTCAAGAGTCCTCTCCAACACCACAGTTCAAAAGCATCAATTGTTCAGCCTTCTTTATGGCCCACTCTCACATCCATACATGACTACTGGAAAAACCATGGCTTTGACCATACAGAAATCTGTTGCAAAGTAAAGTCTCTGCTTTTTAATCTGCTGTCTAGGTTGATCATAGCTTTTCTTCCAAGGGGCAAGCAACTTTTAATTTCATGGCTGAAGTCACCATCTGCAGTGATTTTGGAGCCCAAGAAAATAAAGTCTGTCACTGTTTCCCCACCTATCTGCCATGAAGTGATGAGACTGAAAGCCACGATCTTTGTTTTTTGAATGTTGAGTTTTAAGCCAGCTTTTTCACTTTTCTCTTTCACGTTCATCAAGAGGCTCTTTAGTTCCTCTTCACTTTCTGCCATAAGGGTCGTGTCATTGGCATATATGAGGTTACTTTATCCTGGCAATCTTGATTCCAGCTTGTGCTTCATCCAGCCTGGCATTTCACATAATGTACTCTGCATATAAGTTAAATAAGCAGGGTGACAATATACAGCCTTGCCATACTCCTTTCCCAATTTGGAACCAGTCCATTTTTTCATGTTCAGTTCTAACTGTTGCTTCTTGACCTGTATACAGATTTCTCAGGAGGTAGTCTGGTATTCCCATCTCTTGAAGAATTTTTCACAATTTGTTGAGATCCACATAGTCAAAGGCTTCAGTGTAGTCAATGAAGAAGTAGTAGATGTTCTTCTGTAATTCTCTTGCTTTTCCTATGATCCAATGGATGTTGACAATTTGATCTCTGGTTCCTTTCAACCTTTTTCTAAATCCAGCTTGTATATCTGGAAGTTCTCAGTTCATGCACTGTTAAAGCCTAGCTTGGAGAATTTTGAGCATTACTTTGCTATCATGTGAAATGAGTGTAATAGTGCATAGTTTGAACATTCTTTGGCACTGCCTTTCTTTGGGATTGGAATGAAAACTGACCTTTTCCAGTCCTGTGGCCACTGCTGAGATTTCCAAATTTGCTGGCATATTGAGTGCAGCACTTTCACAGCATCATCTTTTAGGATCTGAAATAGCTCAACTGGAATTTCATCACCTCCACTAGCTTTGTTCCTAGTGATGCTTCCTAAGGCCCATTTGACTTCGCACTCCAGGACATCTAGCTCTAGGTGAGTGATCACACCATCGTGATTACCTGGGTCATTAAGTATTTTTTGTATAGTTCTTCTGTGTATTCTTGCCACCTCTTCTGAATATCTTCTTCTTCTAAGTCCATGCCATTTCTGTCCTTTGTTGTGCACATCTTTGCATGAAAAGCTCCCTTGGTATCTCCAATTTTCTTGAAGAGATTTCTAGTCTTTCCCATTCTATTGTTTTCCCTCTATTTCTTTGCATTGGTCAGTTACGAAGGCTTTCTTCCCTCTTCTTGTTATTCTGTGGAATTACATTCAGA